CTTCTTCACTTTTTCCTTCCTTTGCCCTCTGTGGTCCGCAATGCTCGGGGGTGGTCGTGACGAAGCGGCCCCGACGTTGCTGCCGGGCTTTGGTTCGTGTGGAATGTTGCTGCAACCAATCATATTCAGCTACATAATTGTGCTTAGTCCTGGAAATTACACCGTTCATAGAGTGCCACGGTCACGGCAGCGTGAGCAGAATGAAACAGAGCGAGGCTCTGCCGGACCACGCCTGCAGCCCGGAGTGCCGCTTCAAGTTAGGGTAAGACGCGCAGGACAAGTATTTAAGAAGCATTTTAGCTTTGTGGATATGGTAGAAACGAATTTGGTGCGAGAAATCGGCGTGGGTTTCTTGTGTGCTGACCCTGCGACTCGACGTCGGTGGCTGGGGTGCAAGACACGAGCATTCATGGGATTCCGTAGGTTGCTGGGCTGGCTTTGATGCCCCCTTACCCGTTCTGGCATTTTTTTGCACCGTAAAAATGCTATAAAGGGTCCTTAGATATTATTTGCCTTTTAGAAAGGTCGTAAGACGCTGGGCAGCGAAGGGGCAGTGGCCTGGCCTACCTGCCATGCGTTCACCCGCACCTCCGGCACCGGCTGCCTCAAAGCCCCTGAAACTAATGATAACGTCGTCGGCCTCTGAGATCTGAGTAGCGCTTATATGTTTTGATGATTTAGTGGATTGTGTCTTCGCCTCCTTCTTGGCTAGCCCAACGACTCCTGGCCGACAATGGCGCCTCTCAATCTGCTCACAGTCGTCAGTGCCTCGTTCCTCGTCCTGGCCAAAGTCAACGGCGCCGTAGCAGCACAAAAGCCAACCTACAAAGTAGAATTTGGTATGTTGCATAGTTTCATGTGGGGTTGGTTTGTTGGACTATGCCCGCAGCTGTCCGATCCCCTTTGTGTCCAACGGGCCAGAACCCCACAAACAAACTGGGAGAGACCGACAGGCATTGAAAAGTGTCCGTATGACACTTTTGTCTTGCGAATCATTGTACACAGCTAACAGTAGTTCGGTTGTTCTTTCGCAGGAAAAGATGGCCACTGTCTTTCCGAGGTCAATGCTGCTCGCCTGGCCGCCGGGTTCAGCGAACTCGTTCAGGCAGAAACAGGGAACACCGAAGCTAGACTACCTGACAAAGCCACTACTCCGCCAGAAGAAGGGGATGGGTGGGCATGGATGCCGGTGTGCAATGCCCTGATTCCAGTGAGTTTTTTTACCTTTCTAGCTGCCTTCCGTAGGAATTTCTTTGTCTTGCAAATCACCTCAGCGCCTGCTAGTTGTCTTGCTATTTCCAGGAATCGGCAGAACAAAAAACTTCAAGAACCGGGGCTACAGCACAGTTCCAGAGCGGCACATACGCATACCATCCCGTTGAGAATCCAGATAACGTCGACTGCAAGGCCGTTGTGGATAAGTGGAAGGGCGCCTACAGCAACTTTGATGGATTGCCTCCGGCTAACAAGGAAGAAGAGGATCTTTACGACATTCAGGAGAACGTGTCTTTCGTGGCACTGTACAACCCTACAGATAAAGCTACTGCAGACTGCCGTGTCGTCACCTGCACTAAAACGACCCCGGGAGCGGAAGCGGACGGCGGAACAGGCCGCGCGGGACAAAACACTGAAACAAAAGCCTCGGCTTTAATTTGCATGACTGCGCCGGATGTACTTGTCGAGGGAGGCGATGCCCCTTTCACGTGAGTTTTCTCAAGCCCTACGTCTTCTATTTTTCCCTGGGTTCTGTTCTGGCTGGAGATTGTTTTTGTTTCTTGGTGCGTGTTCTGCAGAGAGGATCAATGGGGACAGATCGTGACCGCTCTCGAAGGCTCCGCCTCGGCGGTTGCACCCGGTGTGGTCGGTCTTGCATTAGCTATCCTTGGCCTCAGCTTGCTGTGACGTAAGGCTTTTCAAGAGGGGGGTGATCCAGGAGGCATTTTCTTATGCTTGAGGGAAGCAAGGAGATTCGCTACCTGCTGATGTGTAGAAGCCGGCGGATCACATACTGTACATATATACATACATACTGAGAAGCTTACGGCTGATGAGAGCATCAGGGCGGAGTTAACTGCTGGCAGGTCATTAAACTATCGCGAAACAGTGGTAAACAACCCGGCTATACAGTGCACAGAGACAAATTATGTTTTTGCCCCTCGCTCCGCCCTGCAGGAGGAGCCGCTGTGGCCCACCATCAGGGCAGACGTGGCTTGGAGGTGAAGGGTTCATCTTGCCTGTTATTCTTGGCGGCTGTACAGTGAAGTTCCGTCGAATTCAACACAGGCTCAGGTCTATAGAGGGTTTGGGAGCATATCTTTTCAACCCAGGTAGTGCAGTTGCCGCGGGATAAAAACTTGTCCACATCATAAAACCAGCTATTATACCATTTGCGTATGAAGAATACCATTTAAGCGTGATCATGAACTTCTTTCTGCATCGAAAGGCAAATCACGAGCGCCTGTGGACTGCCTGCACCACGCAATGGGTCAGGCGCTCTTGGAAGCCAGGAGACACATTGCATTTATGCCAATGGTGCTTGCTGGGGAACATAAATAAGACTCCTTTTTGCATTATTAATGCTTGTCATAATGTTGAAGTAGTAGATTGCATTCTACCAGATAAGCTGCGCCGGAAGCCGGTTCGCAGACCCAGTGGTCGGGCCCTTGGGCCTGCCAGCCGATGCAGCAAGACATGGATACTCACCCGCCAAGCGCAGAGCAGTTAAGCGGCGCGAACAAAACCATTTAACAATTACATATTAGATATCTTTGTTTCATGCGTTGAATTGCCGTATTTCAAGGTCTACAAACCCAACAGTGCTTCGCAGTTCGGCCACGACCACTTCCGGGCAAAGCCCAACGAAGAGGTCGCACTGTTGAAAACAGCAGAAACCACGAGAACTGACGAAATCTCAATCCACAATCGACCTGGCATCGGAAGCTGTTCAATTGTTCAGTCCCATCTGCCTTCCATTCTTCTCAACTGCCCTATGGGGAGCCCCGCACTGCTCTGCATGCAGACGAATCCCTAACGGTACGCTAAGAGAGGCTTTGCTTTCCAGCTTGAAGGCAACTTCCTGGCACTAGTAAACTGCACACGTATCCAAGTGCTTCTACAGGCAACATCGCCCGGAGGACAGATGCAGCTCCAGCAGCATCTCATATTCCGGGTGCCTGCAAAAAGCGACAAAAGAAGGGTAGCTGCACCATTGCGGGCAATTGCATGTAGCAGCACTCCACACACATGTTTACTTCCGTCGATCGCCTTCGCCCGTCTGCAGCACCACAAGTTGTGGGCGGAAGGCATTCTACAGTGGCAGCGGATTGTCTTCTCATACTGCCAAAAACTGTGGATGTAAAGCAATTAGGATAAAACCTGTTTCGGGGTGTCATGTTCTTCATCAGATCTTCCCCAGAGTCCGTACCGCATCTTCAAAGTTGCAAAAAATGTTGCAAGTGGCGACGCCCAGAAAGGGTAATAGTGTACCTCAAAAGAGAAAGACGGCTATCATCTGATCCGCGCCATGATTCCATATATTCATTCTAATAAGCACATCTGGAGCCACAGCCCCTTCTAGAAAAGTTCTTGCACGCCACACTCGCCATCTTGTACCTAAAGGCGACCAGCGTTGGACAGCGATTCGTTGGTTTTGTTTTGTTCAGACAAACGAAATTTGGGGAAGGATTACGACTTGTCTAAACATATGGGGAGGCTTTTACCTTGTCTATCCAACGAGGGAGAAAACCAGCTCCCTTCCTTGCTCACTCTGCCCGGTATTCTGGTATTCTCACTAGCAGCCAAAGGGCATCATGCCCCTTGTGTCCCTGTGTCTGTGTGCATCATTGCAGGTCGTTCTCGCACCAGTGCCTGCTAGCTACTGTTGCCTGCTCCCCATCACTCTGCTTCCCCTGCGCACGCAGGAAGCGACAAACCTTGCTTCCAGCAGTCAGTAGCAATTGAGAATTGAAAGAGACACACTTTGGGTGGTGAAATGGAATGCAAGGATTCTGTCGAAGGAAGCTTCGTGATTCGTTTTTGCCAATCCTTTGTCCTTCGCATGTTCCTGGCGATTGCCGATGCTTCATTACCAGACGAGAAGGGACACAAGTATTCCCTTGCAACGCAGATCCCCAGCTAGAGCGCAGCCGTGGCTCCTGCCGTTCAACAAATGCATTCATTGAAGCCATGTAACCGCATATTTGCTTGAGTTGCAGTGCGTGATCCCCTATACACAACTCTCAACCTTAATATTAGCTTCGCGAAGCCGTGACAAACTACGCCTCCCGGTAGGGAAAAGTTGATTTTGACCCAATGCCTTTCGAAGGCGTAGCATTCTGCACAGTAGTACTGCCCAACGTCTGCGCTTGAGGAGCTCAGTAGGCATTAATCCGTAAGGGATTATCAAGAGGAGTTCTCAGAACTTTGGTTGCCCACGAGGAATTCGCAAAACTGTTCAAAACCCTCCAAATTGCTTGGACCAGTTGCGCCAAGCCGTCTCCGTACAGAAGCATTTAGGGACCCCTCCCCAGAGTGTAGATAGGAAGTGAGTCTCTAAGAAGTATAATAATGTGAAAGGGTACAATAACATCGCTTCTTCACTTTTTCCTTCCCTTACCCCCCGCGTCCGCCATGCTCGCCAGCGGCCATCGTGAGGAAGCCATGAGAATGTCGCAGACCCCTGGTTTGTGCGGAATGGGCAGCAATGCATCACATTCAGCTATATAATTGTGCTTAATCCTGGAAATCACACTTTTTATGGAGTGCAAAGGTCACTGCAGAGTGATGGAAACGAGGCTCCGTGAGACCATGGCTGCAGCCCGGAGTGCTGACCCAACTTAGAGGACACCACGCGGGACAAGGATTTAAGAAGCATTGTACCTTGGTGGACAGGGCAGAAATGAATTTAGTGTGAGAATTCGGCATGAGTTTCTCCAGCGCTGACGCCGCGACTCGACGACGGTGACTGGGGTAAAAGACACAAGCATTCATGGGATTCCACAGGTTGGCTGCCCGGGCTTGGATGCCCCCTAAACTTTTCTGGCTTGTCTTTGCACTGTAAAAATAATACAACAGGATATTAGGAACGATTTGCTTTCTATAGATCTCGTACGATGCTGCAGGGCAACGGCACAGTAGACCGGCCTGTCTGCCAGGAACGGCGTTCACGCGCACCCCCGCCACCGGTTGCCTCAAATCTGCTTAAGCTAGGGTTAACGTCATCGATAATGAGTCATTTGAGTGCAGTTTCTATATTTTGATGATTCAGTAGATTGTTTCTGCGCTTCCTTCTCGCATGCTTTGTGACAATGGCGCTGCTGAATCTGTTCATAGTCGTCAGTGCCTCGTTCCTCGTCCTGGCCAAAGTCAGTGGCAGCGGAGCATCACAACAGCCAACCTACGGAATAAAATTTGGTATGCTTCCCAATTTCATGAGCAGTTTGTTGGTTGGACTATGTTTTCTGCCGCCCAAGCCCGTTTGTGTCCGCGTCAGAACCCCACAACCGAACTGAGAGTATCCGACGGGCTCTGAATAGTTTCAGCATGACACTTTTGTCTTGCATATAACTGTTCACAGCTCGTGGTAATTCGGTTGTTTTCCCGCAGGGACCGATGGCAAATGTCTCGCCGAGGTCAATGCTGCTCGCCTGGCCGCTGGGTTGAGCGCACTCGTGCAAGCAGAAGCAAAGAATACCAACAACAGGCTACCTAATAAAACCCTTACGCAAGAAGGGCCAAATGATTCCTGGGCTTGGATGCCCGTGTGCAAGGCCTTGATTCCAGTGAGTTTTTTACCCTTCTAGCTGTCGTCCTTAGAAAGTTGCCGGTTGTTCAAATCACCTCAGCGCTTGCCAATTCCCCTGCTATTTCTAGGAAACGGGAGAAAAAAAAGCTTCAAGGTCCGACGCTACCGCTGACTTTCAGAGCGGCACATATGCGTACCACCCCGTTGACAGTCCCGACACCGTCGACTGCAATGCCGTTGTGGATAAGTGGAAGGGCGCTTATACCAACTTTGATGGATTGCCTCCATCTAAGAAGGAAGGAGAGAAACTGTACCAAAACCAGGACAACGTGTCTTTCGTGGCCCTGTACAACCCTTCAAAGGACGCTACTGCAGACTGCCGTGTCGTCACCTGCACGAAGACGACGCCTGCAGCGGAACGTTTCAAAGCGACGAGAACCACCGGAGGAGAGACAGAAGAAGGCTCTGCTTTGATTTGCATGACCGTGCCGGATGTGCTTCCCGAGGAAGGAGAAAATGCCCCTTTCACGTGAGTTCTTTCACCCTCCGCGTGTTCGCCTCTTTGTAGTCTTTCTTCCAGATTAGATTGTTTTTGTTTCTCGACATGTGTTCTGCAGAGAGGAGCAGTGGGGACAGATCGTGACCGCCATCGAAGGGTCTGCCTCCGCCACTGCGCCCGGTGTGGTCGGTCTTGCATTAGCGCTCCTTGGCCTCAGCATGCTGTGAAGCAAAGGCGTTTTAAGAGAGGGATGATCCAAGATGCTTTTGTATGTACGCTTGGGGGCAGCAAGGAGTTTCTCTACCTGCTGAGGTGTAGAAGCCCGGGAATCACATACTGCACACTCGATGCAGATGACAAGCTTGCGTGTGATGGGGGCGTCAGGGCGGAGTTGAGTGCTGGCGCATCACCTAACTACCTCGAAATAGTGGTAAACAACCTGGCTATACAGTGCTCGATGAGCCTTTTTGTGTACAGAGACCAATTATGTTTTTGCCTCTGGCTCTGCCCTGCCGGTGGAGCCGCTGTTTTCCACCATCAGGACAGTCGTGGCTTGGAGGTGAAGGGTTCATCTTGCCTGTTATTCTTGGCGGCTGTACAGTAAAGTTCCGTCGAATTCAACTCAAACTCAGGTCTTTACAGGGTTTGGGAGTACATTTTTTATAGCAATTCAACCCAGCTAGTGCAGTGAACGCGGGGGCAGCTTGTGTCCACTGACCCTGATGATGTACTGCTGCTTCTAAATTGCTTTCCTGTGTCGCGGAACTGCGAACATCTGTGATCCGGTAGCAGGACTGGAGCGGGTTTTAACCGTTGCAAAGACATGGGCAAGGCAGACAACTACGCAAGCCTCTGGAGCTTATGTGATACAATGGCTTCTTTATATGTCCAGAACATACAAATCCCACATGGATTCCGCTTCATTAACTTCGGCAGCAGCTGCAGTTATGGGTGTGCAGAGGTGCCGTCGTGTGAAGGCACAGGTTGACCACTGCACAGTCATATTGACAGCAATCACCACAACGCCAGCTATTATATTATTCGTGTATGCTGCGCACTATTTAGACGTGATAATAATCTTTTTCCTGTATCCAGAGGCAAATCACAACGCTTGTTCCCTGTTGGCACATCGCGCCCGATCAGGCGCAGACGGAGCCCAGCAGGCGGATGACGTTTATGCCAATGATGCGCGCTAGGGAACACAAATAAGGCTGTTTCTGGCCCCTTTTATTGCTTGATACATTGTTGAAGCAGTGGAATACAGTATCCCCGATAGGCTGCACAGAAAAGCTGGCTTGCAATCCCAGTGGTCAGGCCATTGGGCCTGCGAGCCGATCCAGCGAGACATGGATGCTCCCCCGCTCAACACAGTGCAGTTAAGCAGCAACAACGAAATAATTGAAAGGCTGCATTTCAGATATATTTTTTTTTATGCGTCGACCTGCACTATTTCAAGGTCTACAAGCCCAACAGTGCCTCACAGGCCGC